GTATCAGTCCCTGGCCTGTTAGGAACAGGGTAGCACAGCAGGAGGTGAGTGGTGGGTGAGCAAGTGAAGCTTGATCTGTATTTACAGCCACTCCCCATGGCTCACATCACCACCTGAGCTCTGCCTCCTGTCAGATCAGTGACGGCATTAGATTCTCACAGGGGCGCGAATCCTATTGTAAACTGCACATGCGAGGGATTCTAGGTTGCGAGCTCCTTCTGAGAATCTAATGCGTGATGATCTGAGGTGGAGCTGAGGCAGTGATGCTAGTGTTGGCGGGCAGGTACAAATACAGATTATCATTAGCAAAGAGGTTTGACTGCACAACAAATGTAATGCGCTTAAATCATCCCAAAACCATGCTCCCCGCCCCAGTCTGTGGAAAAATTGTCTTCCATGAAACTCAACCCTGGTGCCAGAAAGGTTGGGGACCGCTGCCCTAGCAAATCTCACCATAGCACCTTTGACTCAGCAAACACTCATTTAGTGTCCAGCACCATGGAGACCTTGGACCTATACGTGAGGAAGATGAAAACCTGTGGTTGCAGAAAGTTCATACTTTGTTTGCCACAGAGGTAATGCTATCCTCCAGGAAAAGTTCTAGAAATCTGTGGGGTATTTCTATAGACACAAGGACTGTGTGCTGCTAGATATTCTGAACAATGAGGAATGATTCCGTGTCCCATACACGTTCAAATGTCCTACTGACAACTGATATGTATAATCTAAGTGAATAACCTATTTATTATTATCTGAGCCTAGATCAGATCCCCATTTTATATATACACAGTGTTTGTGCATGATTATTATACATACTGAATTTTTTAGGAATTTAGCAATGTAAAATTTGATAGAAGATTGAACTTTGTTCTGTTTAAAACTACTAAGATTCGTTCACCATTTCAGAAAGTCACAGCACCAAAGCCAACATTGATAAGGCTTTTGGGTCACCAGTGTTACCCATGTGCCCCAGCCTTTGCTCCCAGTGGTGTGTTCATGGCAATTCTAGCTAGCGTGTCATCACATTTTTGTGTCTTCTAGGTAAGCTTATTTTATTATAAATTATTTTCCTTTTATTACTCTTTTATAGTATAGTTATGCCAGTATATTGATTTTTTAAAATTATATGTGTAGGTAAAATATATGTACTCTGAATTTCATTTCAGGAGAGCAAGGAGGTTGTTACAAAGGATTTATTATAAAAGTGCATGGAAGATGTCTGCTATAATTGAGAACTACTGCCCTACAGGGTAAGACATACACATACACTGATAATTTTGGCATCTCTGCTCCATTGTAGCAACATAAAGACCAGCCAGGCATCATGAGCCAATGCCTTGAATAATACAAACATAAATTTATGAAAGACTACTCTATTTCTCTTCAATGTATTTCCCAGCTCTTTTTTTTTCTTTTTTCTACCTGCAAAGGAGAAACTCAAGCTAAAGGAAATGCTATTTGTTAATGAGATGCTAAAGAAAATGATGCTCTCAGAAGAAAGCTTTCACACAAAGGGAACATGCAGGCAGGGGGCTGAGGGTTGCTAACAGGAAAACCCAGCAGGCAAGTTAGAGGATAGGAGAGCAAAAGTATTTGAGTGTGCCTTTAGTGCCCCTTTGATACCATTGCCATAGCTTTCCTTCTAGAACTGGAGAAAGCATCTGGTACAGAATGCTTACTTCCCCAATCAATGGAATTTGACAACTGTGGTTTTAGCCTAAGAAGTAAAATTAAAAACCAGATTTGAAATTAGAAACTGTACTGAGGTTGCTAGGTGACCTAGGCCAAGAAGGTTGCTATGGACAGGAATCAGAATTGTTTGGATTGAGTATAGGTCAGATTTTCCTAGAAATTTCAGAGTATTCACTCTCTTTTTTTAAAAAAAAGGCCAGGCAAATACACAAAACTTAACCACTGGGGGGAGGGTAAGGAAACCAAAATAAACAACAAAACAACATAAAATCAGAAACCTCAAAGGACATTATCTAAAGGAGGACAGACAGATCAGGCAGCTGTCCGGAGAAAAAACACTTCCCCGCATACCCCTCACCCTGCCACTCCGGTTCCTGGCATTAGATCCTTAATTCAGAACTTAGCTTTGATGGATGGATCTGTCACTACATGATGGGAAGTTTCAGCCACCAGTTAAAATCTAGGCCAAAGCCAGGATGTTCTCAGTGCATTAGGTAATTCATGGGTAACCAGGAAAGAAATGACTTGGTGTTATTACTATCTCACCTTTCAGAGCAGGCTTTTGCTTAAGATATTAGTGAGCATTCCAGGAAAGCCCATTACTACTGCATTAGTACTAATCAGGATATACCACACCCAACCTCTTCACTGCTTGCCTTAGAATATCCAGTGCTCTCATGGACAGGATCTAGAATTCTACTTTACTACACAATTTTGCCTTCTCCCACTTCTTGGGTCCAGGACACCTTGATTTTATCTCCAACAATAAGACATCTTAGCCCTCTTTCAAGGTGATAACAGATGGCCATTTCTCCCTCCTCTACGTATCATCAGCATTTCATTTACATAATTTACTTGGCTCTAGATGGTCCTATAGTTATCTGTAAGCATAATGCTGGAAGCTACTGTTAATATGAAGCAGGAACTTTATGTGGTTATCTTGGATGCATGCATATCATTATTACCATTTCACAGAAGAGAAAACTAAACTTCAAGAGAGAAGTAACTTGGCCATAGTCATTTCTCCGGTTAGTGATGGTACTCACATTCTAATTTTGGTCCAGCTGATAACCACTGCACTGCAGCTTTCCTTGTAAGGTTTTGGAGGGCTGGATCTGTTATAGTCTCAAGTCACTCAGTACCCCCTTTTTTGTAACTCTAATTGTATACACAATTAGGCTGTGAGGTCCATGGGGACAGAGTGGTGTCTATCTTATTTTTCACTCCACCTCTGGTGCCTAGTGGCATTCCTGGTACAAAGTACTAAGTATCTGCAGTGCCTCCAGTTCCTGGAACTGCACCTCAGTGTTTACTGAAGGGCATTTGTACCCTTTATATGTAAGTACAAAGTGTCCATATCCAATCATTTATGAAACAAAGTCAATCTCAAAACTAAAGAAAGGGAAAGCAAAATCCTTCCTGTTTAAAGTATTTATTGTGTTCAAGACACATGTGAAGTCTTCTCTTCTGATAATGCTTATCACCTAAAATTAGTATCATATACATATGTATCTATCTTCTAATAGAGATCACATATAAAAACGTTAGTCTATGTATTACTCAGGAACACTTACTATTAGGAACATATATTATTTAGTGGAGATACTGAAATGTAAAAGCTTCTGATAGTATATTTATTATTGATTAAACCTTTGGAATAAATATGGCTAATAAGAACTGTGTCCCTATAGTGATAATTCATTAGCCCCAAACTAGAATGATTAAATCCAGTATGGTGTATTCATGCAATGGAATACTCTATAGCAATGAAAATGGATGAATCGTTGTACATTCAACAGTAGAGACGATTATCACAACAGACCTTTGAGTGAAAGAAGTCAGATGCAAGAAAGTGTATAAATATATAAAATTCCATTTACATAAAGTTCAAATTTAAGCAAAACTCATCTCTGGTGCTCAATTCAGAATATTGATTGCTTTGGCCATGGACAAAGCTTCTGGGATGCTGATAATGTATTTCTTGACCTCTGTGGTAGCTTACAAGTACTCACTTTGAGAAACTTCATTAGGCTTTTACAACTTGTGCAATTTTATGTGTCATATTTTAATAAAAGATCACTATTTTAAAAGTTCTTCATAGTATCTATATTGGTGGAGATATATATATACATATTTATACATACATATTTTTAAATATACTTATATGTGGACTCCTATCCACCCTTCCTTTTCTTTAGTGACATTACTATTTATCTGCTTATGTTTGTGTATCCCAGGAACTAAGTGGAAGACTACCTAGCCTTCCATTCACTGTTTGTGGGTTAGAGGTTGAAATTCAAACATTTACTCAAACACATCCAAAACACATATGTGGCTTAAATATGGATTTTCTTAGCCTTGCATGAATGTCTGATTCATATCTTGAAGTATTCCACACTCTAGTGACATAAAGGAAATAAGTCATTGGTCATAGAATAACTTACATACAAATCTTATTAACTTGATTGATCAAAACCTTAGCTAAAAAATGGAAGAAGCTAAGCTAAGTCACAGAGATTCTTTTCCAAATAACATTTTAAAAACAATTTTTAGCCCTATTTAGGGCCGAATTTCAATTATTTAGATATATTTTAGAACATAATTAACATTTCCCCACCAATATTTTCCACATTATGTTGAAGTTGAGAACTGTAATAACCCATTTCGATAGTAAAATTTTATTAAAATATATTGCACAGTTAAGAAGCGTGTGTGTGTGTGTGTGAGAGAGAGAGAGAGAGGGAAGGAGAGACAGAGAAAGAATTGTTTTTCTGGTGCCAATTATTCAAAATTTTCCATAATATTTGCATAAGTGAATCCAATAATCTATAATGTCATGTTCAATGCATCCAAACTGTATTCTAATAGTTTTTAAAAGACTGACATCTTCTTCCAACTTACTCTGAATCTAAGAGACCACTTCATTGCCAATAATAATAAAGTCCAAGTTCATTAAACAAAGATAGTATGAACTACAGGAAGGCGTTAATAATCTGAGATGAAGACAGTAAAAAAAAAAAAAGGATAAAATTCAAACAAAAAAAAGGTCTAGCTCTCCTCTCTCTCTCTCTCTCTCTTTTCTCCACAAACTCAGCAGGAACTTTGCAGTGCAAAGGGACACCCTAGGGGGAAGCACGCTAGAGCTTGAAAGAGGTTTCCTGTTCCAGCCTGACCCCAGATCTCTTCTGGGAGAGAGCGCGAGTTGCGCTTTCTCTGCATCAATCCTCTGGGAGGTCGGGAGACCAGGTGGCAGGCGGCCTCCCCAGGCGCGAGGCACCAGCTCCCGCGTCCCCTGCCCCGGGACTTACCAGGAGCGCGCAGCACAGCAACTTGTTCATTGTGGTCCCCGGAAACCTCAGGCGCTCGGAGGCGGCGGCGGCGACGGGGCGAGCACCACGGGTGCGTCTCCTCAGCCCGTGCACTCACGCGTTATATATAGCGTCCCGGCAACAGGAAGTATCGCCTGCCTTTGATCAGTCATTTTTCTATCCTGGACCAAACTTTGCACCTTTCTTTTTTAGGAACCTTGGGCGGGAGCAGCGGGGGGTGCAGAAAGCTCCACGGTTAACGCTTTCAGAGCCAGGGCGGAGAGGATCCCCGGAGGGGTGGGCGTGGGGGGCGGGCCGGGTGTGTCTGGCCCTGGGAGCCGGTGGGGGGAGCAGTGAAGCCACCGGGCTGCGGAACAAGGCGGCTGCTGTCTCCGCGGGGCTCTGAGGTTTCCCGGCCCCTTCCCGCCAGCGGCCGGCCTCCTGGCAAGCGGGCCCGGCGGCGGGAGGGCTGGGCACACGCTGGGTAGCCGCCGCGCTCGTCTCCTCCACCCTGAGCGTCCGATGCAGCCAAGATCCGGACGCAGCTGGAGCGCGTCCCAGACACTTTGTCCCCTCTCTGGGAGAAAGTTGAGTTTCCGCCCTGCCCCGCCATCTGACCCCTTCTCTGCGGATTCTGAGAGCTCGAGTAACAAGGCCTCTCATGTATGCACTGCGTTGTCTCAGAGCACTGCTCGGGAGTTTGCAATTGATCTTCAGGTTTACACGAACTCTGTAGAAGAAACTTCTCTATCTCATGTCTGATGGACCCTAAGGCCTGTGCTTTTCTCCATTCACTTCTTGTTGTCCAGGGTACTTAGAGTAAGAGAGAGTCAGCAAGGTGAAAACTGACTGCCTAGCGTAGGAAAAACGTTGCCGGCCACTATTTCTTCACCAACACCGTGGTTATCAAAGGGCTATTGGTAGCTCAGCTGCCTCTACACACGGAACTTGTAGAGTGGCCTCCTCAAGGTCATTCTACTGTCCCCAGGCTGTTGGCAGAAGTTTGGCGCTTTGCACAGAGGGTTCTTGTCTCTCCCCATCCCACCAGCAGCTTGCCTGGGAGTTGGACTTGATGACTTCTAAAGCGTATTCCCATTCCCCTCTCCTGCATGTGGTTCCTGGATTAGAGTTCTCAGGTCGCCACCAAAACTCTCTATTTACAGATGGCTGAAAAAGTCCCTGGAGAGCCGCTTCCCCATAGGGGCCAAGTGTTGAGTTGTATGTCTCCAGGGAAGGGCGCATTCTGCTTTTCACCGGAGTTCAGGAGGAGGAAGGGGAAAAATCAGGGAGCAAGGATTGCCAACAGGGATTAGAGCATCTGCTGCTTCACAGTGGGCATCCTTCCACCACAAATTCAAAGTGGATCCATGGACCAAGCAGAAAATACTTAGAGGAAAAGAATGTCAGCTCTTCCACTCTGAATTACGGAAGACTGGGGTCTTATTCAGCTTTCAAGGCTGTAACATAACGGCATGCTGGTTTCATAAGTGAACTAGTGAAGACGTGTAAGTCAGTTAGTGTGGACAAAGTTGTAGTACTCTAGACCAACCCCTCATATTTTAAACTTCTGTAGTTTTGACATCTATGACCTGAGATTCTAACATTAAACCTACCATGGGACTCAAGTAAATTCAAATGTTAGTAGTAAAGCACTATATAAATAGCAGTATTATTGTTTTTATTAGAGTAATATTTGTCTAGGAAATTATTTGAATTATCTCGAATTATCTCAAAACATAATGTGATGCCAATATGTGTGAGTCAGACCTTAGAGAAAATCAATCAAGGATCTAGTCCTTCAGTGTTAACCCTGGGAAGGGTTCATGTCTCTCTAAGACTCAGTTTCTTCATCTGTAAGAAAAAACAATACTGATATTGCAGAAATGTGGGAGGAAGAAAATGGAAGCATTTTGAAAGTATTATATAAATGATAATCACTAGTTGTGAGCATTAAGTAAAGTAATGCTTGTAAAATAACTTAGCACGGTGCTTGGCCCATAGGAAATATTTACTAAATCATAATTACAATTGTTCTAGGGGAGTACCTAAAATACTGGTCTTTGGAGCCAGACACTGAGAGTTGAGCCCCACCTCCACTTCTTCCTAATTCTGTGATGTCAGACTGGTTGCCTAACCTATTTGTGTTTCTATTTATTTTTTAAATCTGTCTCTATAATGAGAATAATAATCACATCTACCTCATTGAATTATAAAGGTCATTATGAGAATTGAATTAAGTAAAACACGTAAAGCACAACAAATAGTGTCCAGCACATGGTAAGTGCTCATTAAGTGTTAGTTATTATTATTATCATCTGAGGTTCTCATGGAGATATTTATACAATCACAAGGTGAATCTAGATTATAAACTCCTAAGGGTGGGAACCATGTATTTTCCTATGATATTCCCTGAAGCTTTTAGCTCACCCTCTGGCTCCCTGTAATTACTCAATAAATAATAGAGTGATGGTGGTGATTTGGGGGTAGGGGGTGTTGGTAATTAGCTCTAATCTCGAGACAGATGGGGGTATCATTCATCTAGAATTCCAAAATAGACAGTGTATTGACTATGTACCTCGGGGCCTGACTGTGGGCCCTTTATTAATCACCCACTGACAGGAAACTGACAGAGACTATGAGTTATCGGTCATTTCACTTGTTATATTCCTGGAACAATCTGGCCAACCCCCAGGGGTGTTCCCTAGTGATCCACCACTGTGGGTAGCGGGTCCTGAACACTGTGAACTGGAGTTCATCTTAAGATTTAATTGAAATGGACCCAGGGATTCCAGACTGAACCCAAAGGGGAATGTTTGAACAGTAACTTGGCAGACTACATTCATCTTCCTGTGACAGATCCCTCATTGGCAGAGGCCATCGGTGACATTAAGCAGAGTGTCCCGTAAATTCAACCCTCTGTTTCTGCACATCAGATATGTGTGGCGATAACTTTCTAGGGAACACCTCATCAGATATACTTCATCTTCTCTTTCCTAAACTCTTTGGAATTAGGCCCCATATTGAACACATGTTCACAGACCACATTTCTGGTTGCCCCCCAACAACATACTATCCACCCCCAATCTCTCCATTTCAGCCACTCCTAAAGCTTAGAGAAATGGTCTCCGAATATTGGGAGCTCCCATGGGGAAATGGGAGCAGCTCCCAGGAGCAGCAGAGCTCCTGATCCAGAAGGTTATTTATAATCATCAGCACAGTGGAAATACCTGAAACTCAGGACAGCAATTGATTTAGGTGATTTGGAAGACGAGGCGAGGCATGCAGCGGGCTCTGAGGTGACTGATCAAGTGTCCTCTCTAAAACATCTTGTGCCTTCTCACCTGAAAATTGGAAATGCTAGTTCTGAGGTTATGCATATGAAAGGATATTTACTTGAAGAACAAGAACATATTTCTTGTTATTTCATTGTTATTAAAAAGAAGTTTTATTCTGACTTTATAATAGAAACAGAGGGGTGGGAGGAGAAATATTGTACAGATAGTCTATTGATTTCCTTTTATTTTATTGACGTTTGCCATTTCATTTACAAACACAATTTTAACTGTATTAATATTCTAGATAAAGCTATATGACTTTACAGGCATTATAGACTGTGTTTAGAGATGGATATGTACTTGCTTTAACAGAATACTGTATAGAAAGGCAAGGTTATCTAGCCGACACACTTTCTGATAGAGTAAGTCATCGGTTGTTTAAGGATCTGCCTGAAAGTGTTGGACGAGGAGTCAATGGCTGCTAGTTGTGATTCCCCACTCATGGTAATGTGACGCTGTCCTAGATAGCCCTTCATGCAGACAGCCGTTTCTGTGAAAATAGGCCTTAAGCAGGCAATCACACAAATATATAAACAGGACTGTTTGTTCCATGCAAAGAAATAAGTTGCAATAGGAGCACGAGACCCTGTGTGACTTTTAACCAGAGCTCTGAAAACCAACTTTGTTAATGAGTGGTGAGCAAATCAACGGAGTGAGGAGGGAGAGACTATGGGGAGGAAAGACAACGTGTCAGCAGGCCTTCAGATGGGAGAAAGCAAAGTGTGATTTCAAGGAACTGGAAGAATCCCTCAATGGCTGGTGTGTGGAAACCAAGGCATCGCATGGACTCAAGAAGCTGAAGAGGTGAGTGGACAGTGGTCAGGCTGCCAAGTGTAATTAATTCCAGTCTTTCTCCAAAGAACCATATGAAACACTAGAGGGTTTTAAGCACGGAAGTGTGTCTTCCATGCTGCTGTAACGAAATACCATAGACTGGGCAGATTGTGAGCAACAGAAATTTATTTCTCACAGTTCTGGAGGCTGGAAGTCAAAGATCAGGATACTAGCATGGTCAGTTTCTGTTGAGGGCCCTATTCTGGCTTGCAGACTATTGACTTCTCCTTGTAACCTCACATGGCGGAAAGAGGGTAAGAGACTCCCTGGATTATCTTTTATAAAGGCACTAATCCTATTTGTGAAGGCTCCACCCTCATGACTTAATCACCACCCAGAGCTCCTCCTCTTAATGCCATCACAATGGGGGTTCAGATTACAACATATGGATTTGGGGAGATGCAAACATTAAGTCCCTAACAGAGTAAGATCATTGTTACAACTGCTGTGGGGCATAATTCTCCTAACCTTATCTTGCTAACATCTCAGGGTCATGAATGCAAACATAGATGTGTAAGAGAAAACTCTCTTAAACCACATATCAAAGTCAAATTGACAACATTTCTGGGTGGAGAAGTTGGGAAATAAGGACTAATAAACTCAATAGACCATAGCAGAGGGTCTGTTGTTCTGATCAGCTCAAGGAAGAGACACAACTACTTGCTTATAAACTTTTCTGAAAATCACTCCAGTCACTCCAATTGGAGTTTCCTGAACCGCAGATACCCATCTAGTGCCTACTCAGTCCCAAGAAATTGGTTCTTTAATTAAACAGCGATGCATGTCCCAAATAATCACTCACCTGAAGGCTTCTGAACAAATAAATATTTATATCAACAGAGTATTAAAAAATGCCTCATGCCCATTCAAGTTTCCTCCTCAAAAAATCCTTGATGAAATTTGGTCTTCTCTAGTATTAATTCAGAAATTCTCTTCTTTTCCCAACCCTCATGCAGTTTTTCTGTACCTGGCTGCTGAAGACTTGATAGATAAGTACCCTTAGAACTGGTCCCTTATAGTCAGTTAAGTGTTTCTATCTAGGAAAGTCCCCTCCTTCAACTAAAACAAACCTTTAGAAACAGAAGTTTTGATGAGATAGTTTTCAGGGAAACTAGCTTCCAAGAGTGAATTGTTTCCTGAAACAAAGGTTTGCCTACAAAAGTCTTAGCCTAAAGGAACGTTTTTAGGAGAATTTTAAACTAAAGAGGGCAGTGGAGTCACATAATGTTCAGTGAAGGGATACC